ACATATCTTACCTAGTTCTGTGTATAATATATATATATATATCTTACCTAGTTCTGTATAATAATATATATATATCTTACCTAGTTCTGTCGAGTACTTTCGATTGATTTTCACTTATCACTGTTGCAGCTGTAAAATCTTTACTGTCCTACAAAATAGAAACAGAAAACAAAGGATCACTACCTTAAGGCATTACACCTTTTTAAATATCATGTACACATTACGAAGCTCCCGACTACAAGTAGGTATTGCCAAAATGTTTGTTTTGCAATATACTGTGGCACAGATGGCTGTATGATGATGTACTTCAACCTTACCATCACTTATATGCTTCCTCAAACCAAAATGTGGCCATTCATCTGACTTTCCATTTGTATTCTTCCCAATTGGTATCCCTTATGTTGCTACATGCAAAGAACCCTGGGTAGCACACTTTGTAAAACGTGTGTCGAGGGACTAGTAACGTTCATCATTTAGCAACAAGCCAACATCGGAAATCACATTTTGGATAAGAATTGGATGAAAATAGTGCCCTCTATGTGGCACCATTTTAACAAAAATATTGATAAGAACACGGAAGTCTGACGTACCGACACATCAAATAGTATCAAAATACCTATTATTTCAAAACAAATTGTGATAAACACCACAAATCATGACTATACCAAAGTACACTTCTAAAATGAATGTTGTATACTCTGAGATTCCCAATTTTGTCATCAGCATGTGGAAAGGAACCCATTTCATTTTGGTACTATTTGTGATTCGTCGATAAATTTTGTATTATTACTATTCACCCTGAAGAGGCTCACTTTCGATGCTTTGTTTTAAATTTCTTATTAAAGCATTAACATTTTTTCATTATCGTGAGAAGCTGACTTTATCAAATACACGTTTTCTTAAAACTGTTAACAACTGATATTAACATGTCCTCTAATTTTATCACAATCCTTTCAAAGACATTTCAGTAACTAACAACATTCTGTACGTGTACTGTATAGAAGTGTAATATATATTCTGATTAATTTTTTTGTATTTATGGCAAAACTACTAAAGCTATCTGCCACCATTCCTAATTTTTAACCACTGACCAGAGGGAAGGCAGTTAACCAGCAGCACCCTACCTCCTACCATCTAACCACAAAGGACTGATTGCTACTCTTATAATGCACCCATAACCTAAAGTGTGGGGAATATTTTGTGGCATTGAATCGGCTCAAAACCAGCTTGTGAGATCCAAAATTCAGAGCCGTACCATAGGACAAACCCACGTCTTGATGAAAACCAGCCAATGGCCGTTTTGTAAAGTTATGCTTGGTATTTTACCAAGTAATGGCTGACATGCTTTCTTGGACAATACATTGATTTATGAAGAGATAACTTGTATGTTTTCTGGGAGAGTGAATTAGTTAAACAGTGGGATGACACATTTTCGTGAAAGATGTATTAGAGGTTACTAAAGTATTTAAATAAGTACATCTAGATTTGAACCGATTGATATTTGTAAATAATTGTAAATCACTGACATATACTAACTTTAGGTACAAATTCTTATTGATGGGCTACTTTTTTGGACTATAAAAAATACCCTTTGTGCCCATATATGGGGCTTTCAGATTTATTATATTACAGAAATATAACTGACAAACGTATGCAGTTGGTTGCATTGTTTTAAAATATTACTTGTTTACTCTCTCAATAAAGTTAAGAATTTTGCAAACTAACAAATCATATAATATCTTATTTTCTCACTGTACAAAAAGTACTAGATGTGTACAATGCTTACCAGAACAATATCTTGTTGGTCAACATTCACAGGCACCTTCAAACTATTGGTGGATTTTTCACATTTCTTTTTCACTCCCTTTTTGTTGTTTTTTTGCTGGAATTTCTTCAACTGAAAAAAGTCTAAACTGTGAATTTTAGGGTTTTTGAAAAGCAAAACAAAAACATAACAGAAAAGGCTGAATGATCTTTATGATATAGACAAAGATGAATGTAAAAAAAAAAGTCACTATCACACGATATTGGTCCCCGTATTTCATTACACGATATTGATCCCCCATATTTTACCACACGATATTGATCCCTATATTTCACTACAAGATATTGATCAAATACTATTCAGTCTTCATGATCCATTACATTAATTGCAATACAACATTTTTTCATAATTCAGTGTTTTTGTCTTTTCATTCTGACTAGTACATCAATCCAATAAATGTGCATATCGGGACAAACAATAAAACTGACTAACGCTAAAAGTACAACATAGACTTTCATCTCAACTCCACTGTTTACATTTTGTTGATTCCCTATTGCATTTGTATGTCCCCTCAATATTCAATAAATACCCAAATATCTTAAACAAGGAATGTTTTAACTCTTTACATTTATTTGAAGGGCTCAAACATGTTTTTTGAGGGGGGGATTTTGTTTTATAATAATTCTATTTATTAAGTGTAATAGGTAATCAACATAAAGTAACACGGTAAATGGTGGGGTGAAGATGTATTGATCTAATAACAGGAAAAAAGTTACTAGTTTCTGAGGCAAGTTGTTTACTTTATATAAAGAAAGCCGGATGGCTAAGAGGGTTTCAGAACTATAACTTGGCATTTGTTGAAGGAAATGTAACTATAAGACCCTTAAGAATGAAGGTTTCCCATCCTGTTACACAAAAAACTTCTAATCAGTCACAGCTTTATGTAGCAGTTACTGCTACAGAACTTTTATAAAGCTATAAACACACAGTTCAATGTATTCAACATTACTGATATACTTTACCATACCAAAATTATAAGTAAGCTGACTTTTGAATTAGTAATCAGAAGTTTTCATTTAATATATGTATTAAAATCATCTTATGTTCACTTACATCTTTTCAGTGATTTTCTTTGTCCATTTAAGCAGTTACTTAGGCCCAAAAAAGGCCTAACAAATTAACCTTTTTGTCAAAACAAAACTTGCTATGCTTATATGCAAAATGAACTAAGCATATCTCCCCTTGTTTCAGGAAAAATGTTTCTTTTCCTGACATACTGCAAGTATTAAATATGTTCACTTACATCTTTTCAGTGATTTTCTTTGTCCTTTTAAGCAGTTACTTAGGCCCAAAAAAGGCCTAACAAATTAACGTTTTTGCCGAAACAAACTTGCTATGCTTATGCGCAAAATGAACTAAGCATATCTCCCCTTGTTTCAGGAAAAATGTTTCTTTTCCTAACATACTGTAACATCACAATTCAAATGAAGTACAACAGAATGATAAGGAAAGCTTTATGAAAACTTTATAAACAACAGGAGTTTAATTTTGGTATAAGTTGTTCAAAAACATCATTTTATTATTAGCAACATATCGCTAAGCGAAGTTTTTATAACTTCATTCTGTTCCGCACAAGTCTGTTGAACAAAAATCATACTAACTTAAAAGAGTAAAGCAAATAGAAAAAGAGCTTTAATCACTTGTTTAGATCATTAGTCTAGAACATCTCAACGCTGCGGTATAAGAACTTACACCATGATAACTGAGGTTGAGAAGCAATGACCAGCAAAAACTGATAAAAACTATAATCATTTTGAAGTTATAAATTTCAAATTAGAGTTTTTTTTGTTCAAACCTATTTTAACTTTCCTCCTAGTGGGATACAAGTGCCGCATTATGCTTTAAGAAAATTCATAATCACTTGTGTGTTCCTTAGAAGCATAATGAAATCAACGCAAAATCTAATGCTCTCCTTCGAAGCATAATGAAATCAACACAAAATCTAATGTTCTCCTTCGAAGCATAATGAAATCAACACAAAATCTAATGTTCTCCTTCGAAGCATAATGAAATAAACACAAAATCTAATGCTCTCCTTTGAAGCATACTGAAATAAACACAAAATCTAATGCTCTCCTTCGAAGCATACTGAAATAAACACAAAATCTAATGCTCTCCTTCGAAACATACTGAAATCAACACAAAATCTAATGCTCTCCTTCGAAACATACTGAAATCAACACAAAATCTAATGCTCTCCTTCGAAGCATACTGAAATCAACACAAAATCTAATGCTCTCCTTCGGAGCATACTGAAATCAACACAAAATCTAATGCTCTCCTTCGAAGCATACTGAAATAAACACAAAATCTACTGCTCTCCTTCGGAGCATACTGAAATCAACACAAAATCTAATGCTCTCCTTTGAAGCATACTGAAATAAACACAAAATCTACTGCTCTCCTTCGGAGCATACTGAAATCAACACAAAGTCTAATGCTCTCCTTAGAAGCATAATGAAATCAACACAAAATCTAATGCTCTCCTTCGAAGCATACTGAAATAAACACAAAATCTAATGCTCTCCTACAGAGCATACTGAAATCAACACAAAATCTAATGCTCTCCTTCGAAGCATACTGAAATAAACACAAAATCTAATGCTCTCCTTTGGAGCATACTGAAATAAACAGAAAATCAAAATTTTCAATTTTTTTTATGATAAAACTAAATAGATACACCTTTTTCATTAAACCAATTTCAACTTCGAAGTTTTTGTTTTTTTAAGTGTGGAAGAATGATAGCAAGTTTATTTTCTACATATTCTTAATTCATTGGTGTGGTTTTTGCCCTTGGATCAGCAGGATGCATCCACTTACGCACCATGAAGTTACATTATTTCCATCCCTGGAAGATATTACTTGCAATTAGATGAAAAATACAAATACATTTGTTTTACTGTGATAATAATTATATTCATTGCAAGTTTTTTTTGTTCACGAACCAGAATCTTTAATGGGTAACTGTATATTCACAGTGGGGGGTAGAATCTGGCAATAAATACAAGTTTTAAAACAAAATGTGATGTTATATATATATATATATATATCTAGGTTTTTACCTATCATGACAGCTGCAATCTGAGAGGAAGGGCAAAACAATTATAAATATACTAAATACTTTCAGTAGTAATTATATTTATGAGAGAAACTAAAAGATACATGTCAACCACATTCTCAAGAGAAAGCAAGTCCTTTCGCATGGAAGTGAAGAATGAAATATTGTAACTAGCAT